GTCTCTCCTCCACCTCCTCCACCGCCTCCTCCTCCACCTCCTCCACCACCACCTCCTGCTCTTCGCATGGGAAGGCCCTCGATCTACTTGTTCATCTCGGTTGCTGAGCACAGGGCTAAAATGCCCCAAAAGGCTACACGGCCAGCAACACCCAGCGCTATTGAAGGTGTAACAGATGAAAGTTGAGACCTTTCTCGAGTTGCGCAAGGTTGTAATAACTTGGGGGAAAAGAAAGGATGGCAGAGGGAATTTCCGAGGTCGAGCAGAGTGAGGGAAGAAGCGGAAAGAGAAGCGTGTGGGATGGGTGGGTGAGTGCGTGCGTGAGTAAAGCCCACTAAGCTATATGGCTCTTTTTCAGAAGCGACCTGAACACAATTGATAGCTCAACAAAGTGGCTTATGAAGTGGAAATTGATAGCAGCCAAATACTCTAAACGCACGTTGATTCTAAATGTGGAGGGAAAAACCGGAGGACCCGGAGAAAAATACACGTGACTACGGGGAGAAAGAGAGAGAGAGATGCAAACTCCGAATATACAGGCGTCAGGGTTGGCATCAAAGCAACGACCTCCTGTATACCAGGCGAGGGGGTTAACATCTTGCCACCCCAGACAGTCGGCCAGGTAAACCATCGGGTCCCAGACACGGGCGAGATCATCGATTATAAGTGGCATTCGTGGAGAGGAGTGACTAAAGGTGGTTGGAGCATTTGAGAAGGTGACTGATCGCCAGCGAGCGAGTGACTGTGGAGTAAATGGCTGATTTCGTTCTTTAATCGAGCTGTGGCTTCTGCATCCTGAATCGGGAAAGGAAAACTAGAGGATAGTTAAGTGCCTACAAATAATTGGCACACGCAAAAAAGTTAACCGCAAAAGAATGTTTTTATTACCTTAATTTGCCTAATTTACAATTCTAGATTTAAAGCATAAACATATTTGGTTTGAGTGCCACCAGAGACTCGACCACATTTTATCTGTAGCAGGGCACCTGGGAAAGTGTGCTGCTCGTGTGGATTAAAAAATAACCCCTCTTGAAGGGGGGTCTCAGAACTATATCTACGGTATATCCTTCCACGGACCATTCTTTAACACATGGGATGATGATGCACTGCTCTTACGGGAGCTCTGGCATGGATTATTCATGGGGGGTGACACAATGCCAATAGCATGATTGCAAATAAACTTGGGGTCGGGGGCGGGTGGAGAGGGAAAAAAAAAACTACGCACCCAAATATATTATTTTTAGCGCTTCCTGTGACCACCTTATGCCGAACACATTCCGGGGTGATTCAATTAAAGGACTAATGTCTTCGGGATGGAATCGGCACGGGTGCAGGAAGTTGACCAGGGCGGAAAGCTACAACAGCGGCAGCAGCGTTTGGAAATATCCGTTGGGAAAGAAATGCTTTTTTCCGCCACAATTAAAGACCGGGAAGCGGGAGGGCATCGGGGCCAATGCACGTACGGAGCAGGAAGCCGTGCCCCCCCCCCCAGGCCCTGCCCCCCCCCCCAATCCACAGCCCCCCCTCCTCCCCACAGCCACCACATTCCAGCCGTCGGTCCATTAGCGTGCGGGATGCGGCACTAATCCCGTAATCCCCTTGCCCGGGATACTTGTGTGCGAAAGTTCACAGGAGCGGAATGCTGGATTGTGTGGGAACCCGGTGGGGAACAGAGGCGGGGCAATGGGGTCGGGTGTGAGAGGGTGGGGGGCCCCAGAGATGCTGATGATGCTGATGATGCCGTCGCCGCCACCGACACTTTGGGTGCCGGATGCTCGGGGATGCAAGGGCGGGCGGGCGGGCGGGCGGGCGGGGTGAGGTCGTAGGGGTGGACGTTGGTTGAGCTCTCGATTGCTGCGGTGGTTTAGCACGGCCATTTTGGAATCTAGTACCAGATTAGCGCCCGCGTGCCACGGTGACCGTGGCGCAGCTTGAGCCGTCCCCCCCCCCCCCCCCCCCGTGGTGGCTTGCGCGTCTCCGTCGTGCGGTGTCTCCCTCGTTTCTCTCTCGTGTCCGGTGTTCCGTCGTGCCTCCCTCGCGTCTCGCTTCCCCCTCGTCCGTGCCTCTCCCGCTCTGTCCGAGTCGCTCCGCTCGGCTCCTGGGAGCCTTTGATGTGCCCGGGTCACAAACCCGGGCAGCTAACCTTTGCCCTCCAAAACTATTGGAAGGTATCCTTTTGTATTTTTTTCTTTTTGTATGGAAAAATGCTCCTCTTAAAAAGAAAAGTGACCGCTCAACAACAACAATAAAAAGCCCGTTGGGTTCGACTGCCTCGCACACAGGTTTTATTTATGCGCGGGTATTTTTTTTTTTTTTACGAACGTCCGGATTTTATCGTTTTTCGTTGATCCATCCTAGAATGCCTCGGAGTGCAGGATTTGAACCGAGCAGGATTTGAACCGAACAAGGGATGAGCTCTCGTCTCTAACAAGGCTTGTTGCCGCCAATCGTACCCATACGTAAGAGTAAATAAAGCCAGTGTTGTTTTCGGTGTCCACGCGGCGTGTATATTACTATCGCACGCGGTCTCGCGGAGGCAGGTTGGGCGGTCTTCTGACGTGGTCCTCGCCACGAGCGTTATGCGCTACTGCCCTCCTCATCATGCTTCCATCGCTTCCTCTCCGCGAGGTGGCCAGGACACGGCAGTAGAGAAAATGGATTCCTGAATCCATCTGTGTGGGGACGTCCAGTGCTGTCCTCTTGCGCGTGTGCTTGCTGGTTTTTTTTAAGTACCTCCCATGTCAAGTGGAAACAAATTACGAACTGTGCAGTGGACACAGACAAGCTATCTGTCCCAACATCCCAAATGCAGCGCTCTCCTGAAAAAGTATTGAGACTCGGTGAGGCTTTCCTTGGGTAAATAATATGGACATTGCTCTCCTATAAGATTGTCACAGGGTCAACATGTCATAATTAATTTAAAAAAAAAGTGAGGTTCTGCACCATTTCCTTGGCCCGACCCGTCCGCCCCCCCTACCCTACCCCTCATCTAGCAGCGGATTAAAAACAGTGTTGTGCGTGTACAGGAGTGTATTTGAACTTTTGTGTGACTGCGCTCTTGGCATTTTGTTTCTATGAAACGTGCGTTTAGTGCAGCACCGCTGTTTCCACTGCCCCCCCCCCCCCCCTCCACACACACGGAAGCGTGGGGGATATGCCGGTGGCGCACAATCGTGGGCTTATGCCATATTTTCTTCTTTTTTTTTTTACAAGAGGGAAGCTCGGAGTGCAATGAAGCAGCGCTCTCAATAACTGTGACGGGCGGGTGGGCTGATGCCCTTCCCTTCTCCCCCTGTCCCTATCTCCCCCCCCCCCTTACCCCTTTTCCCTGTCCCTGTATAAACCTTCACGTCCCCGCTGGTGGTCCCCCACCTGGGTCCGGGGCAGCGAGTCCAGTTTGACCCCCTTACACTGGGCCCTGTTGCGCCAAACTCGGGATGCTGTTCGCGGAGCTTTTGTTTCCTCCTCCGTGCGCCCCCTCTGTTCGGTGATGGGCGCTTTGTATCTGGCCCGCGTTGAGTTAAAAAAAAAACAACCGACGGTGGCGCTCGCTGCTACGACGGCGGCGGCGGCGGCGGCGGTGGCTCCGGCTCGTGCGGTCCACAGTCCACCACAGTCTAGGGGGAAGCGAGGCGCCCGGCAGATGGATCCGGTGCCACTGTGGGTAGCTCTCTCCCGTGCGGTGGAGGGGGTCGTACCTCGCGTATCGTGCGCCGTTTGTGTGTGTGAGCGCAAGCCGCTACGTTTCCGCCGTGCTGGGAGCTTCAGGTCGCTTCCCGAAGAATCTGTCGGCGCGTTGATCTGAAACGGCAGACGTGCCCAGCAACGCGCGGCACGCGGAGTTGCCCCGAGGGTTTGGCGAATCGGGGCGATCGCCCCGGGCCCCATGTTTTTTTTTTTTGGGGGGGGGGGGGCATCGATGTCAGTGTCACGTGTAATATTTCCGGTTTAGTTTGAAGGCATGGGAGTGGGGGGGGGGTGACCGGGAAACACAACGAGAGAGACGTGTGGCGCGACTGGGAAAATACTCTGCACACAGGAGTGCAGCGACAGATTCTTGAATGTGTTTGTGCGTGGGGCCTTGATGGGCTATCACCTCGCACATGCGGCCGTGGGATTTCTCTGGTTGTTCCGAACATGAGCAAAAGATCTGAATGAAAGAGGACCCTGCTGAAAGAGTCCTAAGATTCGGCAAGGCTCGGACTTGAGTAAATCAATATAATTATTATTCTCCGAAATGTCTTGGTACATCGGACTGGGTTCACATTGTGGTGAGTTTTACTGCAAATGAATTTCCTGGGCGATTTCCCCCCCCTACTCGTGATGTTATTGAGACTGCCTGGTATATTTTTGGAGACAAATCGGAGAAAATGGAACGTTTGCCATAGGGGAAGAGTAATAATGCATTGATGCATCTTAGGCTCACGATGGCTACGTATATGGAATTGATGTTTGTATTTGTATATATGTCGTATGTTCACATGACCTCTCCCCCCACCCCCCATGTGTGACAATAAAATCGCCAGTCAGGTGCATAGTTACACCATTATAATTCTTTGTATGCCAAATGATAGACTTTTACTATGGACTATAACATTGCAATGGTGATCTGTGTATTACGTTGTGGTTTGGTTCTTTCTTAGAAAAAAAACTAACTTGGATGCAGTAATACTGAACAGGTAAAGGCGCAGCGCTGCAATTGCTTGCTCACGTCACTGGCGGCGGAAGTTCAACACACGTACATTGGAAGGGGTGGCAGTACCCACACCCTACCAAACCACGACGTGCCGCTCCCCTGGCTACGCTGTGCACCTGTTTACACCGGGGCGAGGGGTGGGGGTGATTTCAACTGCTGTGCCGAGAGATGGAATCGAACCGACGGCCCTCTGGATTGCAAGTCCAGTGCGCCGACTGCTTCACCACGGCAGCACCCACAGTATTATTTCACTGGTAGAACATTTATCAAATGCCTCCTTTTCCCCCCCTCTTCCATTACCCAGCAGCTCCGCCGTGGATGCTCTCCACAACCCGGGATGGACTCCGCACGGAACTGGCCTGGACCAACGCACGATGGCGCTTCGTCTCACGGCCCGAGCTCTGTTTTGCCGTCGAGCGCTGCTTCCCTCTGACTCCGGCCTCGCTGCCCTGTGCGGGATGGGGGGTGGGGATGGGGCAGGGGGGGTGGAGGGGGTAGGAGGAGGGGGGTGGGTAGCCCTTCCTTTAATGGCCTTTCCTGCCCAGAGGTTCCTGGAGGCCTGGAGCAGGAGGCTCTGGGCCGATTACCACGTGTGGCCCGTTTATTCGTAAGCGACAGAAACACAGACCCGCTTGTGCGGCTTACGTAATGTGCTGTTTATAAACTTAGAAATGTGCAGGTAAGTATAATTTGGTCATTTCGTCTTTTTTTCCTCTCGTCGGGCCAGGACACACTGGCCCCGAATGACCATCCAACGTTGGATGTCATGATGCGTTGGGGTGGAGCGGTGGCAAAATGGGTAGCACACTGCGCTCTGGTTTCTGGCCACGGGAGACATCGGTGGCGAGTGATATCCGAGGCCAGTCATGGGTACCACCACCACCACCACCAACCAGCACCTACCAGTGCGATCAAATACTCCCTTTACTGGTGCGGTGTTGGGAGGCCGTCATCCAGCAGTAGATTGACGGAGGGCTTCGTATCACCGCAACAGCCAGTGACGTGCTACATGTTAAACATTTTAGGCTTGAATCGATTCGTGAAAGTTCATATAATTAGGGGGTTTTGCAGTTTTGAGACAAAGCAACACACTCATGAATGAAACTGGCCAAAATTTCCAATACCCGGGCCCCTCCTGCAAAGAGATTTGAGATTCGCTGAGACTTTCCTGGGTAAGTAATTGCCAATCATCCATTAATATATTGATAACGTTTCTTGGTGTTACACTTTAATGCAATATCTTTGATTTTTGTTTGCAATATGTTTCATGTTTTGGTGCAATAAAAGCATTTTTTCAACCTACAGAGTGTTTCAAGAGGGATTATTTACACCAATGTTCTGTTTGGGAAACGAATACTTGACTTCCACTGGCACATCCGAGCCCCACCAGTCCAGGGCCCTCGTGGTACGGTGGTTTTCCACTGCCTATATAATGTACCACGGCCAGGACCAAATGGTGGTACAGTAATACCTCGATTTACATCTCTCCCTTTTACATCGTTTCACAAATACATTGTTGTATTATTAACACCACTATCTGATTTTCGTCGCCTTAACCCACACTTGTTACTGACAGCATCATCCCGTCCTTTCTTGTGTCCGTCGCTTCAGCCTTCACCTCCACCTACCCTGTACACGAACTGCTTTGCGTCGCGCTTAAAGCACAATATAATATTTTTATGTACAGTATGGTGATTTGGAAAAATTTCTTTGATTTACGCCATTTTGATATTTGTCGCATCTTTTAGAACCGCATCCCTGACGTAAATTGGGGTATAAACTGCTGTACGTTGGCCTCACGAGACATCTGAATCAGGCTCGGGGCCAAGCAGGGCCGGAGGTGGGGCTAATGACATTCATTATGTGGGACATTAGTCAGGACCCAACTTTACCACTCTGCCGTCACCACGAAATCTACTTGTGTCTCGACTTCTTCACTGGCGTGTGCTGTCGGCAGCGCTGCTCAGCTTTGGCGGTGTAAGAACAACCCGGCACCTCTTGAGAAATGCCGGAATGGTTTTTGCGTGACCCTGGCACGGCTCAGTTGTTATAGTGGAAAGAGGTAATAGTGACTGGGTTTTAACAAGTACCACGACTACTCTGAATAAAATTCGGGAATTACTTTAATCCGCAGAGACGTGGGAGAACTTTTTTTGCCGGTCTTGCAAACATGATGGAATGGCTTTTCAGTTTTAATACAAACGTTAACAAGTAGCAGAACATTGGGACGGTGTTTTTCAAGTATAGTTTTCTCCTTATCCCAGTTATATTTAAGTTGTGCAACTTCCATTATAAAGACAATGTCCATTGCAACTCTCAAAAAGTTGCCGTTTCTATTGGTGCAAACAAAATATCAAATGTTGAAATGTCTATCCATTACTCATTGGTTTTTTCGGTAAAGTCACGTGTGTAGAAATACCATAAAATTATATTTAAATAAATCACGACGTTTCTACATGCGTGACTTTACCGAAAAAAACAATGAGTAATTTATGCAGTCATGAAAGCTTTAATTCTTTATTAACACACTTCTACGGGGAAGTTACCTTTACAATTCTGTCACTATTTGTTTTTTACACCTGATGAAGATCGCTTGTGTTGCGGTCGAAACGTCGTGATTTATTTTAATATAATTTTATTGTATTTCTACATACGTGACTTTACCGAAAAAAACAATGAGTAATTTATGCAGTCACGAAAGCTTTAATTCTTTATTATGTCTATCCATTTAGCTCACATCACACCCATCTATATTTTATGGCTGTGACTCTCTTGGTCAATCCAATTAATGAATCGTTTACCGATTATCAGTTTCATCACTCGACTAATCTTATAGCACAAAAATAAGTTCTAGAAAAAAGTCATCTGCATTTTCCCCGAGAGCGCACCGCTGTCTAGCCCTGAAAATAAAAGTTCACCACGGTCGACTGGCAGGTCACGTGCAGTGGGGTAAAGTGTGTAAGGACGTATGATCACTGTGGAAGAGTAGGAAAAAAAATTTTGTTTAGATAAAGCAGTTGATTACAATGTGGCGTGATATAACTTAATTGATAAATCAACCCAGCTCTAGTTTCTTCAAAGCAGCATTGGGAGTGAATTGTCATCATTCCAGGCTGGTCTCGCACAAATTATCTCGGTACGATCCACCAATTCCACCAGCAAAGAACTACATGCCTAAGGCCATGTGCACAGAAATGCTACCAGTTCAGGTTTATTTCATTGACCAGGAGAGAACTGAAAAAGAGACCAGGATAGGCCTCCAGCAAACATGGCCGGAGGCTTATCCTGTCACCAAAATGACTAAAAAACTATAAAATAACGGGCAATAATTGAAGCAAATGCCAAAACGGAGCAAAAATAACCGCATTTCATGAAAATGCGAAAATAATGCACAAACAAACCGGTGTAAAAGAAAATGTATTTCTTGTAACAAGTTGAATGGCAAATTTGCGTCTGTGTGCAAACCAGACACATCATTGTTGTGCTCCTGGCCCTCGACTCGGGTTGCCAACACTGACCGAAGCTATTCCGGGAGATTTTCTATTGTTTTATTTTCTTAAAATAATAGATTTTTAAAATTCTGCCGGATTGCTTTCAATAGTCGCCCGGAGATTGATACCAATTTTTGGTATAGATTCCAGGACAATCCGGGATAGTTGGCAACCATACACTCGACGTTTTTTTTAAAGACAGTTGGTGGCCCAAACGCACAATGTCAACGTTGAAAGAGAGAGAGTGAACTCAAATTCAAATGCAGGTGAGATAACATCTTTTCGTTCTGTAATAAATCAGCAGTGGCGAGTGATATCTGAACCCGCCCTCCTTTCAAAACGTGCACTGACCAGCATGGTGAAGTATGGTCAAACAAGGGAAGTGATTAACATGGCGTAAGGGGCCTTCTGGAAGTGGAATGACAAATTGCCATAAATTGTACTTTTGACCTCTCCATCCACTAAAATACAAAGAAATCGACAAGTCTCTCACCCCATCTTCCACCTCCTCATCTCCCACCCCCATATATCACCTCCACAACTAAAAACTCCCGCATCTCCCACCTACTCATCCCATGTCCCCATAGAGCACCTTCCCATCTCCCATCTCATCTCCTACCCCCCCCCACCTCCCCGATCTCCCATGTCTACATCTCCCCATCTCCCGCTCATCCTTAGCATCTTCTCATCTCCCCCAACCCCATCTCATTTCCCCACCTCAAACATTGCCTCCACGTCTACAATGTCATCTCCGAAACTCCCATCACCTCCCCGTGTCCCAAGCGCAGCATTCGCTCCTCGGCTCTCATCACGTGCGCGCTCGCGATTTTTTTTCCGTTTGGAAAAAAAAAATACCCCACATTCCCCTTTAAAAAATATCCCCTTTAAAAAAATATCCCCTTTTAATTGGAAGCAGTTACGTGGGGGGGGGGGGGGGGGGGGGGGGTGGTAGGGGAGCGTGGGGGGAAATGCGGGGTGAGGAGGTCGCGGGCACGGGGAGGCTCCCCCAGTAATGGCTTGAAAACACTTAATGACTGCAAAGGCTTCCACCCAGCGTGCCACCTCAATTCCTCCTGCCACGGCCTGCCACGGCCTGCCACGGCTTGCCACGGTTGCGGACCCACGCACGCCACGGTTACAGACGCAAGCCCAACAAAAGTCTGCCACGGTTACAGACGCAAGCCTTGCCACGGTTACAGATGGATTTGACATCCAGAATTACAGATGCTTGCCTTACCACGGTTACAGATAGATATGACTCCCACGGTTACAGATGCACGCCTTGCCACGGATGAATGTTGTGCAATCGAGACCAAATTGTATGACTAAATTCCCATGCCTTGTTTGGCCATACTTCACCACACTGGTCACTGCGGGTTGGTGAAAGGGTGGAGGGTGAGGGGAGCATCCCATGACCGGTTTCAAATATCACTCGCCACTAATGTTAGCCGTGGCCGGCAATCGAATGATATTACTAGGTTGACAGGGTAGTGAGCTAGTCAATGCACCACCGCTCCACTCCATGAAGCAATTGCCATCAATTTAATCTTGTTTTGTTAAATACAAATTGTAAAATCCTATTCCTTACAGCAGGATGATTTTCGTACGTGGAACAATATTAAATAATGTCATATAAACACCAGCGGCTCCTACCTCGGTAGCTAACGAATACATTGTAGTCGTAATTTAGCCAATATGAATGTGCCTGCTCTTGAGCCATACCTTGTGTCGCATTTAAAATGTGAGCCATACCATGTGTCAAAATATTGTGTCACATTTTAAAATGTGACACAATATTGCTTAAGTTAACATTACATGTGTTTGTGAAATTTGGAGGGGAAAAATATAGTGTACTCGCAAATTACAAAATCAACATCGCCCCCTACTGGCAGACTAACGTCTCACTTGGCATGTCGCAGATGTACCGCAGGTCAAGCTGCCAATAAGGAGTCCCCGAGGCTCACGCGATCATCGCTCTTTCGTTTCCTTATAGTATGGACGCAATCTAAATGCGAACATTATTATGTACAATTTACGGGGGGTTTATCTACTGGTTTATATATGTATTATCTTGATTTGAAGCTTTCGTGACTGTAGGAATCCATACTCTTTGGTTCTTTCGGTAAAGGCACGTAGGCACCGAAAGAACCAAAGAGTATATATTTTATCCTTTAACACGTGACCGCTGTATTACTATTGTGAGCCAGAATAAGGGTACCACCTGAATTAAAAACACGAGAGACTGAAGAAGTTGAAGACGACATGGTGGTGATGGTGCTAAAGATCATGGCGATAAACAAAAACACAACGCTTATAATTCTGATGATGATGTCGGTAATGGAAATGAGAAATCTAATGGTAATGACGTTGGTGATGCTCAGGATGATGATGATCACGATGGACGGTGATCAGGGTGATGATGATGACGGTGATGATGAAGATGATGGTGATGATGAAGGTGATGATGATGACGGTGATGATGACGGTGATGATGATGAAGATGACGGTGGTGATGATGATGATGACGGTGATGATGAAGATGATGGTGATGATGACGGTGATGATGAAGATGATGGTGATGATGAAGGTGATGATGACGGTGATGATGATGAAGATGACGGTGGTGATGATGATGGTGATGATGAAGATGATGGTGATGATGAAGGTGATGATGATGACGGTGATGATGAAGGTGATGATGATGAACATGACGGTGGTGATAATGATGACGGTGAAGATGAATATGATGGTGATGATGATGAAGATGACGGTGATGATGATGACGGTGATGAAGATGATGATAACGGTGAT